TTATCTGAACAACAGAGAGAACATTTGTGCTAATGTTGGTACGCTTAACTGCTGCTTGTTGACCTGCCCTGATACACACAAGCTTAAGCACATTTGCTGTTCTTAGTTACATTTTCTTTCCTTGTGTGAAGGTTGTTCCTATTATAGTGTTACAGCTAAAATTTTACATCACTAGCAGTCATGTGTTATGTATGCTAATGAAGATTTCAGTTAGCGTGCCATGTCTTTGTATGTCCTTTGTCATAAAATTTATGCATTGTATGAAATGTCAATCAAACCATACTGCAATGGCTTTTTTTGTGACATCTAAGAAAGTGCCTTTTTTCAACCTCAAATTTACATTTAAGAAAGTGTCCTAGGGTTTCCCAATGTCAAATGTTCTGTTGCAGAGCAAGATGTGGCCTTACTGTTCTAGAGAAAGTGTCATAAAATTTCTAGTTATTAGACTCAGTGTACAAAATACTTCCAGAATGATGGCCCACACAGTGAACTCATCCAGAAAAAAATAATTGAGGAAAAAACTGCTGCTTAGATTGACCAGCTCTGAAATTTAATCAAACGTTATTGCATTATCAGCCTTTTAGTAGAAATGTCCAACTATTAGTGGATAATATGGACAGTTCAGCAGAACAGTGACTTCTCCTGGGTATGCAGTCTGGCACTTGTAATCAAGGGAAACTGCATAGAGCTCCATGCAAATGTGAATGTCTTTCAGGTACACTGGAAAGATCTGAGGAAGAAACAGGAAACTATTTGTGCCAGAGATGACCAACCCCATATGGAAATAATAGACCATTGTGTGTTCTTTCACCAATTCAGTGAATAAACCTGAGAAACATGATAAAGGAATCCACAGAGCGAAATACATTAATGTAAAACATGTCTCACTTTTCAACTAAGCCACTGAAAATACTACATTTTGAACAAAGGCAAAGTATTACATTATTGCAAGACTACTCTGACAAACTTTAAAGGGTTTCTGCATACATTGGTAGATGATGGTGGAATTTAATAAGTGATCTGTCTGCTCTGACCTAAATCTGGAGTCAGCAGTCAGAAGACGGTTGCCTATGAAAATAATACAGATGCTCATTAACTGCCAGAGTGCTATTTGAACTGAGAGCCTGTAGAGAAACACTTTTGCATTGTATTGCTAGTTCCCCAAGACACAATTATCTTGGATTTCTTATGTTTTATTTAGTTTATTTTTTCAACATAAAGTTACTGACTACTAAATCTCAGAATTTAGACAGTAGAATAAAGACAGTAAAAATGTCTTGAAATTTCTCTGTAGAAAGTCTTTCTTTAAACAGTAGGATGTTCCTTGTGCCATGTCTCCATGAGAATGAGAAAATAAATAAAAACTAGGTACAATATTTCATTTAGAAGTGTGAAAGCATAACGGAACTGTACAAAAAAGAACTGGAGTACACGTATGTACACATAAATATGTATATATAGTTAAAAATAACAGAAAATGTAAAGGAACACACTTATTTCTCTCTAATTACAAGTAAATATGAAAAATTCATACTCCTTAAATCAGTGTTAGAATATAAAACAAACGTTTTATTGAATGACCCCATGTGAAGGATCACAGTTCTTCTCTTTAGAGAAAAATGTGTAAAACATGGATTTGATCAAGTTTTCTTAACCTGTAAGGATTTAATCAATAACTTCTTGAAATTTATCATTCTTTTTTTTTTCTCTGAAACAAACCTTAGCATAAGAGTAAGAGTATCTGGTACTTCCTGCTGTATGTTTGGCACTGTTTCTTGCTATACCTGTTTCTTGGCTACCCTAAAATGTATGACTTCTTTCAAGAATGAGGTTTTGGATACATACTTAAACCTAGAAACTTTACTCTAACACAATGGCATTAAGAATATCCTAGAGGAACGTTGAACATAATAGATTGTTATTTAACTAGAAAGGGTTTATCGAACGAATGTTGGAAAGCACATATAAGGAAGCACAAGTAAGCAGAGTCACAGCTGTGTGTATGATGATGATATAAATACCCAGGAAAGGCAGAAACAAGATTTAGATGTGAATTTCTGAAGTGCAGGGGAAGTTTTTGTTTAGAATATAATTTTAGTAAGTTTGCTATATCCAGGCTTGAACAAGATGCTTATACGTCTACATGCCAATTGATAAATACAGTTTATGTATAGGTAAGCCAAGTACAGCATTTCCCAAATGTTCTTTTAAAAATCCATGATGTTCAGCTGTATCCATTGATTGCTGATGCTGTTTTGGTCTCTGTAAGCACACAGCAAAGGAGAAAATAGGCCACAGAGATTTCAGTTGCCCCATATCCAGAGGGTTAATTCTTTCAGAGAAAGGAAACACTGTTTAGGAGAGGTTTACCTATACGTGCCAGGGCTGGAGTGTTTGGTGTCGGTCATCTGTTAGTATCTGAGATATGAACTGCTCTAAGATCCTCAGACCTACCCTGTTCTGCCTCTCTCTTGGTGCTGTAAAGAATAATGCCTTTTGCTCCTTTTCGGTAACATATTCATACATTTTAACCTCTATTAAAGAAGGCTAAATTAAAATTTCATGTAAGGAGAAACATCCCTAATGGGTTAAGCGCATATGCCAATTACTTTAGGATGTTTACACAGGGAATGGCAGAACTTTGGGTATAAGGATATTGCCCCTAAGAGAATTCATCACTGTATTAACCACCAGATTGTTTTGAAGATCAATAAAGCAGAAAATCAGAAGACTCTATGATTATACTAAATAGTTCAAATGAGAAGAAAGAATGCTTTTTTTTTTTTTTTTTTTTTTTTTTTTCTGGCTTGAAAAGCCAGCCAAAACAGTTCAAGTGTTTCAGTGTGAGTCTGGGGAATGCAGGCATTTTGCCCACTTTGAAAATAAAGTTATAGTGAATTTTCTTTGAACAGCTGTAGTACTGTCAAGGCTTTGGAGAATGATTTTACTTTTTTATGAGGAATGAAAACTGCTCACTTTGATCAAACAAGCCTTTGAAAAACTGCAGATTGCTTATTAACATGGCTGTTAGATACCCAGATCCTAGCATACAAATACCTTCAGTGCTTGTGGGGAATGGACTATGCTCAATCCATTGTAGCTCTGGACTGCTTCAGATCATGCATTTTACAGGACTATCAGTTACTCCTCTAGCAGATACTGTACCTGTAGTAAATAAGGACCAGGAGTGGCAGTAAAACTGATCCAGGCAACAATAGGGCCATTAGTCTGACTCAACAGTGTGCAAAGCTTTAGAACAGATTTTAAAGGAAAGAAGTAATTAAGGCAGGACAATAAAATGGAACATGTATTTTTCCAAAGGCAGATCATGCTGTACTGATATATCATCTTTGATAAAAGAAATGATCTAGTTAAGAGAAATGCTGTTGGTTTAATTTACCTGGACTGCAGGAGAACCTTTAATATAGTATCAGTTTGAAAATCTTGCAGCTGAGAGAGCTGCACTTCTGATGAACATAGTAAAGACATACAGGGTCTTTACTATGATGAACAGAGCAAAGACAAGCATTTGATGTGTGGCGTAATGGAAATGTAGGATGGAAAGGAAATGTAAGGAGTGGATGGGACATGACAGTCTATTGAATTAATGGTTACAGCAGAGTAAGACTGCATTTATTAAGACCTGAGAAGAGTCAGTGCTAATAAATGATGTGTGAAGAGCAACAATCTAATTATGAGTTTTGGGTTTTTTAGCCATATTAACTGAGGCACTGTGGAGGTTTCTGTGCATATTCTCTTTTCCTTTTTATATTCTTTAGTGAATATTGCTTTTTCATGTGTAACAAGTGTGTTACTTTCCCTCCCTTTCCCTGTCAGGAGAGAAAATGTATGTCTTGCAAATTCACATCAGAGCATCAACAGTTTTGTTTGTTTGTTTGTTTTAAGACTATTGAAGGAATTTCATTATAAAATACCCCAAACAAACTTTATTTTGCACTGGTTATTTAAATAATCACATTTCAATATTCCGGAATGATGGAAAAGCTGGGTGGCAAATCAACCATCCAGAGATTAACAGAATTTATGCAGAGAATGCAGCTCAACTGCTAATCCTGCTATCTGCTCCCAGAGGTCTGGCTGGCCTTTTATGAGGTAACCCTGTCACTTCAACTATTTGCCTTGGCATTCAAACATATCAGTAACATATATGGATATTCTCATTTTATTTTTTCAATGGAAAATCTTATCCCCAGATCAAGTGCCGAAGATCACCCTGTTTGACTGTGACCAATTTCTCCCTGCCAAATGTTTGTTTGAGACACACCTGCACTTACAAATTTATCTCCAGAAGATTTAAATATGTATCACCCATTTTCATTAGTTTACTTGGGACAAATAATACAGGAGTTTGCATGTAACTGATATTATTATGCTTCTGAACTACCATGTGAGTATATACGTTAATGTTTATCCACATATGGAGGTAAAGGGTGCCACATACACATACTCCTATATTTAAAGTTATACAACTTGTTTTCCATTGTAAGAGTTTGTTACTTATTATCTTTCTTAAATTTAGTTGTTCAGATTGAAAATGTGCAAGTCTGATTTTTACTTGTTACTTTTTGCAATTAAAACTATAATTTATTTGATAGTTCCAAAGCAAGATCAGTGTATTATGCTGCAGGTCACTGTTTTAGAAGATAAAGGATAAAAGAGAGTAATAACTAATGCCTGCTACAAGCCATCATATGACAAGAGAGCATGAAACCAGCCCTTTAGGCTCTGGTGTGTTACATTTGGGGAAAATACTGCATTTCAAACACTGACTTAATGAAGTTAAATGTTTTCTCTGTGTTACTGATATGTGCTCTTTCCTGGCTCCAGCTCCAGTACTTCTGTCTGTACTTTACAGATGATATTGGAGATTGGTCAGGGTCGTAAGAATAACCAAGAGAAATGTGTTTATGATGAGTACATTTCAAAGTCACCAGCTGCTACTGGCTTGTTTTTATTCCTGTCTTTGTCCCACTTTGCAGACCAAAGCTTGACAGCAGAAGACTGTTCAGTCTGGCTGGATGTCACGATTTGACACTGGAGAAATGTTTAACAAGGCTCTGGGGCTGGTGGCTGAGTTTAGGCAAATTCAGGCTGGGAAAAAGGTAAAAATTTTTGTTAGGAAAGACATAAACAGAGGTGAGTTAAGATATAAGAACTGAGGATGTGTTCCTTATTAAAAAAAAATTTAATCAAGGTTGGGTGCTTTTTTTAAAAATGTATTTTAGCCCAAACCCACATATTTAGTTTCAAGCAGTAACTAAATCAGATGTGACTTCTGCAGGAGACTAGCCTAGATAACCAGACTCTCTTGCCCCATTAGATCTAGGAATGTTTTTTCCATATTAAAGCTCTCAGTCATTTCACTTCTAAGCTCTCATACATATGTGATGTGAACCAGGAAGGCATCAACGTTTTTCCAGGAGCATAAATAGAATTTTGTGAAAACACATCCATATTAAAATGCTTTATATCTCTCTAAATAAGTCAAACTTTTTAAGTTATGGAAAATTTCAACTAAATTCTTCAAGAATTGTATGTATGGCAAGTAGGACTTTCCAGCTTCACAGGAGCTGTGGGATGCTGTAATAGAGGGCACCACAACTGAAAACATGGGCACTTTTTTTAACTTTGCTATACCTTCTCTTTTTACCACCACAGGTGGAAATGGAAGTGAATAAGAAAAGCTCTACCAGAGAGAGCAGCTAAGTTTTTTAAAAGACTGAGATCAAAAGATTCTCTTCATTTTGTAGCATGTTACTCAGTAATATTATCAGCAGATCTCTGACATCTGCAAATGTAAGCATGTTAAAACACCTTTTTGTGATCTGCTTATGCCTTTTCTGTACCATAAATATATTTTGCCATGCTTTTAATAAAAACATGAGAGTAAAATAAAGGAATAAAAAACCTCTTATTTCTCTAAGACCAAAGCCACTTATCCTGATATCTTGGAGGCTTCTGCTTAGGCTTCCTAATAATGAACACACTCCATCAGGATCCGTTTGTTCTATCAGCAGTACTCGTTTGTAATTCAGGCCTCCTGGGTGGGGAGAGTCTTTCTGTTATACAGGCAGGTAAGAACAACGATCTTCTGATCCTTCTCTAGGTATTGCTGTCTTAAAAACAGTCATAACTGACGATTGCTGCCTGTAGGTCATACTTCTGTCCTAATTGTTTTGGTTGGTAGTGTAATTTATATATAGGTAATGTGCTTGTGGTTTTAGCTGATAAGGTGTTGCTCTGCCTAACAGGGTACAGTACAAGGATTATCTGGAAATTATTCAATCTTAAAAACATTAAATTGTGATTGGTGATTGGCCAAAAGAGTCAATAAATGTCCATCATCCATCAGAGGATGAATAACTCACAGATGACAAACAAATATATTGGGCAGCAACTTCCAGTGAACTTCTGAGGCTTTTCTTCCTTTTTGTTTAAATGGACAGTAGGTAACATTATGCTTTCTGCAGGAATAGCACTATATCAGCAATTTAATCAAAAAAAAACCACTTGCACTTTGGCATTTTTTAAGAGAAACCATACGACTTTTAGGCTTTACAGGAATTGAACACATCAGGCTTGTGCTGTGGGCTTGGTTCTTAGGGTATTGCCCTTCTCTTTGGATAGGTGAGTACCAGTGGTATACAACTTTAGGCTGTCAGTGTGGTCTGGTGATGCAGTCAGATTTTAATCTCCCAAACTAAACACCTAACTCTGTTGCACACTGCAGACTCTCAGTTTTGAGGTAAAAATGAGGATGTAAAATAAACTAAAAGCCAAGCCTAGGCAGAGCAGCTGAGGCAGAACTTCAGGGAGCTACCATGTCCTGAATTGGACCTCAAGCTCTCATGAACTCAACTTGCTATTAGTGTCAGGAGGTAACGAGCCAGGCTCAGAAAATCCAGTTTACCTCACACAATCCCCTTCCTGCTCATGACAAAGGAGCAGTCACAGTACACAGGGTGCTATGTGTAGAATAGGCCCATTTTCTATTTTTATATTTGTTAGAGTTGAACAACTTTTTTCATAATATCATCAGTGAGCTGCAAGAGAGTTAAGGACAGATATTTGGAAAAAGATTTCCAAATACATAGTATTAGTCTATTGAATTCTTTTTTCTGCTTTCATAGATCCCTCTCCTACAAATAGGAACCTCAGGATGAATCCAACGTACACACTTTCATGCACATCCCTTTGAATACTTCAAATATGTACTTTTGTCCATCCTTAGGTCACCGAACAGCTCTTAACACCCAGACAGGCTAGAAGTGAAATGATTGTATACCGCTCTGAACTAGGTAGACATCAATGTATTTGATGTCAGTGTCAGAAACATCTCAAGCAGACTTCTGTGAGCTTTGAACCAGACCCCTTTTGAAATAGAAATTGACAGGTTGCAGGGATAGTGCATGGACAAAGGAAAAATGTTTAAAATCATATAAAATGTTAAAAATTAAGGTAAAGGTCACTCAGCCCAAATATTTTCTTTCTTTTTTTTTTTTTTTTTCCTAGGGTCTAATATTGCTAAGAAAAAAATTCAAAGTCTCTTGCTGAAGACAGACCACAATGGGTCCTGCTGAACATATGGTATTGAAGGATACACCTTCTTTTTATTTGAGCTAAGGCATTAAGTAAACAGAAAGCAAACTGGAGCCAGAGTTGTGCAAAGCTGTATCCAGACAGGAAGCTTCAGAGGAAGAAAATGTTGTAGAGGTACCTTCTCTTCTTTTAGTCTATTTCTTTTAGGATATTAGTATGATTTTTTTTTTCTAGGTGTTTTGCTAGTAAACCAAAGAATTAGTATTCTCAATTTGTGTTTTAAAAGATAATGAGTTCTGACTTTGTTTAGTGATGTCAAAGGCAATTAGCTTTTCAACTGATTTCTTCAGAGGCAGAAACAATTTTGCAGTTGTTAAGGCTTTGATGTGGTTTGTTTTTTGTTTTTGTTTTTGTTTGTTTATTTGTTTGTTTTGTTTGTTTGGTTGGTTTGGTTTGGTTTTATTTGTTTTGGTTGGTTGGTTGGTTGGCTTGTTTACATTGCCTTAACTGCAGTGAAAAGAATCTAATAAATACACAAAATGTTAGCTAGATATCCAGTGACTAATTCCCATTACCCGAGAAACATTGTGTGTAATTATCAGTGTAAAGGAGATGCATGAATAGGATAAAATGCTAAATGTTTTTTAGGCAATAGATTTAAAGTAGTAGTATGAAGAAGAATTGTTGATGTTATTTATAGACTATTTTAAACTTTATGGGATATTACATTCTACGTTTTCTGTATTTTTCTTCTGTCTGCTTTCATTAAAAACCAAGACACAATCTTATTTAGTATCTTCAGTTTCTTCTTTGATATCTAACATTTTTAGCTGCAAAACCCTAGAAAATCCTCTTAAGGCACAAGAATTTTTGCCCTTTCAAGCTTCTGATTTTTTTTTTAGCCAGCAATGGGATGTCATAAATTTATTTTTATGCTAGTGCAAGGACTCTTATTCATGAAAACATACAGAGAACACAAAAGCATACACAACTTCCTTCTTTTACCACCACTTCATTATTGAGATTATTTTCAGAATACTCTTTTCCTTTTACATTCTTATGTGTCAGAAGCTGAATCTGCTTTGATAATCTTTCCACAATAAAACTTCTAAACTTTTGAGCACTTTTACCTGTAGGATGAGTTCTACGAAACTAGTTTGGAAGTAGTAAGCTGCCTCTGTTTTTCAGCTCTTGCAGTGTTTGAATGGGGGTTGTTGAGGCTTATTGAAATACAAATTCATTACTCTCTTCTATTTCTATTTCACACTCTGCTTTAATATTTTTTTAAATTTTAGCCTTTTGAAAGATACTAACGGTTCTAAATTTGAAACAAAGAAAATTGAAATGAAGGATCACCTTGGGTTTTTCCCCTCAGGCTTCACATATACTAGGAGTGCTTCACTAGTTAGAAATTCTTGTCAACTGTATTGGCAGATTTTCTGAGTAAGCACATAGATGTAAAACAGTGGTATGCTTTATGCATTTAATCATCCCTGTGTTCTGTGGATGCAGCAAGAGATACCTCTAAAAGTGCTATTTAATTGTGACTATACCAATTGTCACAATTCTGCTATGGTGAGCAAGCCCCGGGCCATAGCTGGGCATGTGTATGGTTAGTCACATTTGTACAAACCATATTATGGTTATACAGTGTGATACTGTGTCCTGTTTCTAAAATAACCATAAAAAGGGCCATTAAAAGCCATATTTTCTTTGTATTACTATATTCAGACTGAGCTAGGAACTGTGGAAAAAAAAATAAAAATCAGTGAAGAATCGATAATTTTAAAAGTGATGATCTTGCCAGAGGGTATCATTGCAGGGCTTCATGCAGATAAACTTTTCCAAGGCTTCATTAGTTATCCTAAATCCAGATGCTGCTCTTGCTTCTTTTGTTTTTAGAAGAGTGGAAGTTGTGGGAAAGCTGTAGTTTATCTTAAATATTACTTAGTTTTAGATACTGTTGCTACTAATTAAAATGGTTTAAATTAATATCTCTTATCTTTGTAGCCTTATAAGGATACTGATATTATAAAACAATTCCACAGTGCCACGAAAATCTGTCACATCTGAAAATATCATTGGCATCTTTTATCCTCAAGGAACCAGGACTTTTCCCTCAAGATAGCTATTGCTTCATGTACTATAACTTAGACCTTGGGACCTTTAGGTTTATCACAAAATTTATTACATCTTCCACTTCATTTCACTGGAAGATGGGCTCAAGAGCACAGCTATTGGCATTTAACTTTGAGGCTCAGTCACTGATATCGCGTAGTGGGTTTAGACAAATGTAGTTATAGTTGAAAGGTCTGTGCTCAGGCAGGAAGACAGACACTGCCTTTAGATGCAAGGCTATTCCCTGTTATTATAAAGTTTTTAAACTCTGACGGAATAGATTAATACTTTAGTTTATTTGTTCTTTTGAAGAACTTTCTTCTCAGCCTTATTCAAGGTGAAATACCTAGCCCTTATCAAAACTTTTCTTCATCAAAGTCTGAAAATTTTACCCAGAAGAAAATCTCAGGATAGTGAATTTGTGAAAACAGTATTTGTTGTATGAATCCTGTAGTATTCTATATTAGGTAAGCATGGAATTCATGCTATATTGTATATTACTCTGAGTTTAAAAAGTAGGTCTCACAGATTATCTTGTGTATTTTAGACAAATACAGTGTTCAACAGAAATTCAGAAAGTGAGGAAGCAGTATCAAATGGATTTTTCCTTGTTCAAATAGTTTATAAAATGTAAAAACCATAACTTTTCTGCAAGGTTAAAACTGCTTTAAGGAGTTTTTTTCTGTACAAAATCACATGAACGTATCTATGTAAGTGAATTGCAGAGGCAATACAGGTCATGACCAACAGTGGTATTTACTTGGCAATGGAGTCATGTGTCCTAGGAACTCTTGTAATGCATTAGTACAACACCCCTCTATGAGATTTTCTTACAGCTGGTTATCCATATGATACAGTTCTTTTGCCAATAATATCTCTACAGTGGCAGAATTGGATCTTTGGTGGAAGGCAGGCAAAAGGAATTGAATCTTTTCTGCTCAGTGAGGATACTTCATTAAATTCATATAATCTGGAAGTTTGATTAATACAAAGAACAAGCACATGAAAAAATTCTGAGGTGAAGCAACTTGAGTCTGTAGCCCTCTAACAAAGTGTGTCTCCATATGTTCTGCTCACATCTCACTTCAGTCAGTTTAGTGCTCTTCCATCTCTCATCATAATAAGTTCCCCCTGAGGCAACTGAGCTCTACGTCTTATGAGCGGTTTGTGAAGTAGCTCACCAGAAGGGCAGGCTTCAGCAGATAAGAGTACTTCTGTTGTGGTTTAGGCCCAGCCTGCAGCTAAGCACCATGCAGCCGCTTGCTCACTCCTCCCTGCCGGTGGGATGGGGAGGAGAATTGGAAGAAAAAGGTAAAACCTCATGGGTTAAGATAAGGACAGTTAAATAAGAGAGCACAAGGAGAGAAGAAGTAATAATAACAATAATACTAATAAAAGAATGTATATAGCAAGTGATGCACAATGCAATTGCTCACCACCCAGAACCCAATGCTCAGTCTGTTCCCAAGCTGTGATCCCTGGCCAGCTCCCCCAGTTATATACTGAGCATGATGTCATATGGTGTCAAATATCCCCTTAGCTAGTTCAGGTCAGCTGTCTAGGCTGTGCCCTCACCCAACTTCTTGTGAAAACTTACTCTATCCCAGCCAAACCCAGGACGACTTCTCTAGCAGACTCGATTAGGAATCCTCAGGAATGAGACAGGCACATTTCTGACATTTGGAAAAGCAGTGCACAGCCATCAAATATCAGATACACTAGTCTCTGGAAGATAGTGGTCCTTTTGCCAACTCTTCACATTTCTTATGAGAGCTAAAAGGATGTACAGTAGAAAAAAAAAAGTGTCGTCATGCCAATCTGGACAGTAGTAAGCCCTGTAGTGGCTTCACTGGTTTCAAGTCACTATATTGAAAAAAAATCTGGCTTTGTATAATTTAGCATGAAAATTTTGATAAAATGTAGCTTCTCTAGAGAGGTAAGATGGGGCTTCTAAATTATACAATAGGATGAACCACAGACTTACAGGAAAGGAGGCTGGAAAAGACCTCAGGACCTCATTGTGTGCATTCTGAAGCTCCAAGAGAGAATCAATTGTACCTCAGAAATGAAGAAGTATTTAATTATCTTTATTGTTAATAAGATTTTCTTAATATATGACAAAAACTTCAGTGTCATAGTTTAAACCCATCACTTTATACCCACTGCAGATAAAATATTAATCCCTCCTTACCTTTTTACAGGTAATTTATATAGATGATAGCTTTCATGTGTTCTGTTGGCCTTCTCGTCTTATTCTGAGAACCCCAATTCTTTCAATCTTTTCTTCTTGTTTTTTCCCAGACAACTGACAATTTGCTCTGCTCTTCTCTGGACTCTCTCCAGTTGGTCTACCTTCTCTCTGAACAGTTTTGCTTGAACAGGACTCAGTGCCACTGGTTGGTGTGCTAGCCATAAATATAATAAGAGATATTCCTTAACGTATTTTACAAGCAAACCAGTTTATCTTCCTAATATGCAGTTTTCACTCTTGTACACGTATGGTGTAACACTGCTTATTCATGTATAGCTTGTGACTGACTGCTATCTCTTATCCCTTTTTGGCAGAATGGCTGCCTAACTGGTCATTGCCAACCCTACATCTTTACAAATGATTATTCCCTCTCAGAACTTCACACTTGTAAACACAAGTGCATTACAATGTGTTTTCTCATACAGATTATTTCTCATATTTGTAAGAACACTCTAAATTTAATGTATCATGCAATGTGTTTGCTGTTCATCTAAGCTTATTGTTATCTGCAAGGTTGAAGGATTGATAGTTCCTTTATCCAAGTCATTAGTGACTTGGGCCATTACCTGGCCCAGAACAGACCCAGCTAGAATCTCACTGATTATATTTTTTGAGTTTGATAGCAGATTATTAAAAACTAACCTTAGAGTCTGCATTTTTTTTTGATTATTTTTTTCTCCCAGGTAATTTTGTACTCTCCTTGAAGTAGTCTCACTTTAATTTACTTTTGAAAATGTTATGATTTAATGTCAATAACATTATTAAAATTAAAACATATTACATGACCTGCTGCTTCTCTATGAGA